AAAAAAAAAAAAAAAAAAAAAAAAGAAAAAAAACACGTGTATGAATATTTTACACGGATGCGAAGGTGTGTTTTATTGATGATTGATTATTAAAAATCAAGAAATAAAACTAAAGTAAATTAAGTAAAGTCATTATCAAGAATTATCATAATGATAATATTAAAAAAGATAACGAATATTGATTGGTTGTTGTGTGAACGATTATAAAATATATTTAAATTGAACTATTGTGTGCCGTGTATTTTAATTGAATGGTTTGAACGTGAAACATCCGTTGAGTGATAACTGATAACGATTTATTTTTATTTTTTCTTTTGTTTAATTATTTCACAATTTAAAACTTTTTCACAAACATTTTGTTCATTAACAGTATAAATCATATACATAAATATAAATATAAATATATATTAAATTTAGAGGACCATGTCCATGGATTGTTCAGTAAATGAATTACGATTTATATAAAATTAGCTACTTTGATAGTTAAAAATATAAAATAAACAAGTATAATAATTGAAAATAATAAAATAGAGCATTTTCACCTTTTACAATATTAGTCAATAATTAAAAGAAAGTTTCAAGTGACGCGAGATAGACAGTGAACGATTTATAAAATAATGAAGTAATAATTAATTAACTGATAATATTAATTAATATAAATAAATAAATTAAAAGATATTGAAGTCGTTGTATTGCATTACAATTATTCACATTCAATTACTTTCAAATCACTTATTATAATAACTATTACTATTATTATTATTATTATTATTATTATTATTATTATTATTATGATTATTATTAGTAATTTTAATGATTGATTGACAAATAAAATTTATTATCAGACGTGATTGTGTGTTGTGCTGTTTGTGTCTTTTTTCAGGGAATGCGTCAAGAGATTAATTGAATTTTTATTTAATTAATTTACCATCTGAAATTTTTCAGTTATTTATTTAAAAAATTAAACTTGATCATGACCAAGGATTTTAAAATTATCTAACTACCCTATAAATACTTTTTTTTTTTCTTTTAGCCTTTAATTAAAATGAAAATAATCTTGGATTTTATATCATTTGGATTGTTTAAATAAATAAAAGTGGACAGAGTTATTATATTATTAATTTTGTTTTTATCTGAATGGTGTATTATTCTTTCATGATGTCTGAAGATTCATTAGTGGGCCGACTGATGGGATGATGGAAAATATGTGAGTATGAATCGGTTGAATGTACTTGTTAATTGTCGTCTGAGAACTACAGAACGTTTGACCGTTTGTCTGCAATGTCAAAATACCCAATAATAAGTTTTTTAAACTAATTAATTATAATAAATAATTAAATGACAGATAATAATTAAAATTTATTAATAAATGTAATTAGTTTATGAATTTATAAAAAAAAAAAATAGAAAAAAAAAAAAAAGAAAAATGAGTGAACTTGTAATTGATAATAAGTGACTGACGAGTGGTGGATAAAGATAAAAGATTAAGAACTGAGGTGATTATTGAGTGCCGGCGCATTTTAAATATATTAATAATTAATAATGAATACGGTGTGTTTGAATTAATTATTTATTAATTTAATTAACTTTCTTTTTTTATTTGTTAAATATTAATAATTAGTATTATTATTATTTATTTTATTTATATTAAATTTCGACTGAGGCTTGAGTGTTTTATAAATAATAATATGATGCGTGTTTGCGCCGGAGATACTGAGAGCGATTAAAATTAAAAGAATAAAAAAATCTACATAAATTTTTATTAAATTTTTTAAATTTATTAAAATTAAAAATTTTAATAAAATAAAATGATAAATTTTAAATAAATATATAATTGCTTATAAATGATAGGCAATTGTTATTTAATGAATACAAATGACAGCTAATAGACAAAGACTGTAGTTTAAGACAACTTTTAACAAACATTTAGAACCGCTAGTAAGTTTGAAACAACAATAATAATTCCGGTCCCTTCCAAACCGTTTTTAATAAAAATATCTAAACAAAATAAAAATAATTAAGATACACGTGTTTTAAAAATTTGTAAAGAATTTTGATATAAAAATTTAATTATTAATTTTTATCTCGAAATTTTTTACATTATGATGGCATTAAAAATAATTGAAATAAATTTTTCTTAAATTTAAAAAATATGAGAGTAAAGTATTTACTTTGTTCGACAGAAAAATATGTGATTTTTTTCACCCAGTAAACCTTGTAATGTATTAAGTCATAATTAAAAAATAGGATTAGGTGAGAATGATTAAATAATTAAAAGAATAAATAAATTTTTTGCTCAAAAGTTGCCTTGCTAACAAGCGATTTGGAAGCGATCGTATGGAATTTGTAAATATCCATGGTGAATTTTCATGTTGGTTATTATTAATGTAGACTTTTAAAGCGTTTTTATTATTAAAGAGAATAAAATTATAATTAATAAATAAACACTGCGTGAAAAATTTTTTTAACAGAGCGAGAGAGAGAGAGAGAGAGAGAATAAATAGTGATGATGATGCTGGTGTTGATGAGAACGATTCTTAATAGATTAATACAGTAATAAATTTATTGAGTGAAACTAATTAATTTATCAGTATGCTTTTAAATGTCACAAATTTGTTTACATTTAAATATTAATGGATAAATATCGATTAGAGTACGAATGCTTTTAAATATAATGTTTATAATTTTAATTGTTATATTAACGTGAATTGTTACGTTTTTTTTAGATTGAACTCTATCTGTCTAGTGATGAAGATTTTAAAAAATAAATGAAATTGTAAATAAACAAATTTTTTCATTGTTTTTTATCTTTTAAATTATTAATATTAATAATATTTTATTTAAAAACTCTTCTCTTATCTCAACCTCTGAAAAAATAATTTTAAAAAAAGTAACGGGGCATAAATATTTAATATTAAACGTTGGTCATAGAATTATTATATTTACACAAATAATTAAAAGATTTAATAATAATTAATGTGTGGATTTGATCAAAGACGCCTAAAGTGTTCGGGTTAATTATTGATTACTTTAAATTATTGCAGTAATAAATATCATTTTTTTTTTCTACTTTTCATTCAACTTTTCCCAAGAGCATATTATTTAATTATTGATGTATAATTAAGTTATATAATTACTATTAGCTATTGAAGGTACAAATAATTGAGTTGGAATGAACAGTGTGCAGATAGTCATAAAGATTTATAATTATGATAAAATTATAAATCAACGTTTTAAACAGATTATTTATTACCGTGACAAACGGAGATGTAAGATCAAAATGTGTCAATATAAATATCTGATAGATGTTATCATGATGATGATTATTATTATTATTATTATTATTGTCTTTATTTTTTTTTTATTTTACACTCCGCATAATTAAACGTTTTAATAAATTATTGAATTACTGGTTTAATAAAACAGAGAAATAATTAACTGTGTCGCAATTATTCGAGTTAAATGTTCTGACCTTTTATTTTCTCGTTAATTATAACTCTTAATTAATTATTATGACATCTGAATGTACGAGGGCATCTAGATGTGAATAAAACACTTAAAATAAATTGTAAATTATAATATTTTTATTTAGGATTATAAAAATTACCTACTATAAATTATTGATTAAAATATGTTAATTTTTCTTTCAAATTTTAGTTTAAAAACTAAAAAGTAATTCAGGATAAAAACTAAAGTTGACATCTCATAATTTTTTGATATTTCTTAAAATGATATGGTGTAAAAAAAAATGTATTAAAAAAATTGGAATTGTAGTTTTAATTAATTTTTAAGTATTATTGTTAGTTTCTTTTTTAATGTACATACTTAATATAATGAAAAAAAAAAATATTACATCAGTTTTTGATACACTTGAAGGTAAATATAAACTTTTGAATTAATTTAATTTATTTTCATATTCATTAATTAATTTACACCAATTTCATTACTATAATTTATTTTCTCTTATATCCAAATTCGAGTTGACAATTATTTATTTAAATACATCTAATTAGATATTTCTGTTTATAAATGAATGAACAAATCATTAATATTAATGATGTATTTTTTCCACTGCATAATTGCGGGCATTGAACTAAAATATTAATTTGCCATTTTGTCATTGAACTTTGTTTTAATCTACTTAAAAATTTCCTAAATAATTTTTTACATTTATTTTATATTTTGTTTAATTAAGAATTGGAAATTATGTTTGATTTTAATTTAATCCTAATAATTATTATTATAATATAATATAATAAATATTATAAAATATTTTGCTTTGAAAATTAATTTACAACTTCATGGAACTCTGTATTACCAACTGCTCGCAATAAAGAAAACTACAAGACTGTTTTTAAGAGGGCGCACAGATCGAATATGTTTTTTAGTTTTTTTCTCCACTCTAAAATTATTATTATTATAAAAAAAAGATGTTTACATCGTGTTGAAGTTTACCGAGTAAATATGTAAATAATTCTAATAATAAATAATTTTTTAAGTCAAAATACGTATTATTAAAATAGTTTATTATTATTATTGATATAAAAATGATACGAAGCTTATTATTAATAATTGGAGTTTATTTATTGAAAAACACATCGGCTTTTAGTAATAACTATTACAATGATTCATTTGATGAAGAATTGTTTATAAAACCACTGCCAAGTGGTCATGTGTACGCTTATTTCCAATTTACAACTCTGTGGCATATACCAAAAGACCCAGACTATCGTAAGTAGTTGATAAATGAAATTATGATTGTCAATGTAAAAAGTCTAAATTGTTAATATCAAAAATTTTTTCAACAGTCCATCATTCACATTTGTTTCCAAGAGGTCTCGCAGTGTTGATAGCTCGACACAATGTTGATGAATTGCATATAAGTTTGACTTCTGGACTGTGGAAGTATCAAAAATGGGGATATCCAGTTTACGATGCTGGTTCTGGTGCTGAAATATGGGCTTGGTTCAATGAAAATGTTCAAGAGTAAGTTTGTTTTATTAAATGGTACTGAAATTGAGAGACATCTGATAATTTAAAAATTTTTTTAACAAACAAATTACAGCAAGAAAAATTTATTAAAAGACTTCCATATTTAGAAGTTTTAAAAAATTATGAATGCAATTTTTTAAAAATAATTTTTTAGGTCTAGTTTATTATTCAAAGAAAATAGAAAAAAACTATAATAAAAAAAAAGTGTCATGGTATTTAAGTTAGCAGTCACTTGACCATTTTTTAGATTTTTTTAACAAACAAATTTGTTTCAAAAAAAAATTTTATTTTTAATTTTTTTAAATTTCTACATGTCAATTTTTTTTTTGCTATAATTTGTTTGTTAAAAAAATTATTAAATATCTGCTAAATTAATTTACATAAAAGTGTCTGCTAATTTCAGTGTCATTTTTTTAATCAATATAAAAATTGATTTTTAAAAAATTTATGATATCGAAGTTAGTCAACATCTGTCATATTTTGGAATTTTAAAGCAAATAAATTACTGCTACGAAAACATAAAAAAAAATTTACAACAATAACTTTTTGACACATTTACAAATATAATTTTTTATAATAATTTCAGTATCATAAAAAGTTTTTAACGTCACAAGTTTAAGTTTAAAAAGTAATTGTGATTTCTAATAAAAAATTACTTATTGTACATTTAAATATATTTTATTTACAGTGTTAATGAATCTTGGAAAGGCCTAACTAACGCATTGTCAGGATTATTATGTGCTTCACTCAACTTTGTTGATCCATCAAATAGTTTGTCACCAGAATACAGTTTCAGACCGACTGGTGTACATGAAAAATCACTTAATTCTAGTCACTTGAGATATTCATCGCTACCTCGTGAAATAGTTTGTACTGAAAATCTGACACCATTTAAAAAACTCTTGCCTTGTGACTCTAAGGTAATAACAATTACTCATCAATCATGATAAATAAATTTTCTGTTATCACCAATTGAAGCTTAATATTTATTGATGACATTGCAGAAGGGTCTGGCGACATTATTGAACTCAGCATACATCCACAATACAAACTACCATTCAATAGGTATTCATTTTCGTACCGTCTGTCGTAATCCATCATGCACGTTGTCATCTTTAGAGCTACGTCAAACAATCTCCCTAGTCTACGACGCGATGGCCGACGAAAATCAAGATTGGTCGCTGAGAAAACTCTTTGGCATGGGTCTCCAGGGGGTTTGTCCTCTAGCGACTTTAAGTAATATTTATATAGATACAGGGACTAATCAAACTGTACATACTTATCAATTGTCACCTCCACCCACTGCCACGATACTTAGTCTTCGAGGTGGACAGCAAGATAAAATAGCTGTCTACGATAACAGAGTTCATACTTCCAAGGGGATTTTTAATATCGCCGCTGTACATAAAAAATTACGAACTAATTTTATTAATTATCCCTCAATATTATCTGCTAATAGATATATTATTGGTACGTATTTTTTTTTTTTTAACAATGATTTATCAGTAAAATATATAATTATTAATGTGAATGTTCTTATTTTTTTTTTTTAAAGGGTATGGTCAAGAAAAAGGTAGTCTTGTCACAAAATTATTTAATAACCATTGGCAATCTATTGATGTAATTTTACTTGAGAATATTCCTTGGTATTTATCTGTTTATTTACATACAATGAAAATTACTCAAGGCAACGAAGTTATTAAACCTTGTAAGTATTTTTATACTATTTAAGTAATTTTTGGGGCTGTTTTTTTTTTTTATTTAAATTAATTTAAATTATTACTCATTAATTATATCTAAACTTTGTATAATTGTCATCCGGCTAAGCTTTGTCATACAAATCTAATTTATTTATTTATTTAAAAAATAAATCTAATTAATAAATAATTTTTTTTAGTACTTCTTCGATACTTACCTGGTCGAGAACGTCAACAGCCATATTACTTAGAACTAATAATCCGATTGCCACCTCATTCGATAACTAAATTTTCAATAGAAATGGAGTATCTATTTTTAAAATGGCAAGAATATCCGCCGGACGCGAATCATGGTTTTTATATGGGTCCAGCAATAATTACGGCATTGTTACCAATTGCGCGAAATTATACAGGATTACCTATCGATGGAAGTACGATTACATCGAGGTCAGTAATTAGCTTTAGTAATAGTAGGTAATGATAAGAATGTTATTAACATACAACGCATTATTAAATGTATAATTTTTTGTTTACAGCTTCAATGCATCACGAAATGGTTATTTAGTTCAATTGCGGACAGAAACAATATTAATTAGCTTGCCAACTCCGGATTTCAGTATGCCTTACAATGTAATTTGTTTAGCGTGTACCGCTGTTGCACTGGCATTTGGTCCACTGCACAATATTTCAACTAAGAGACTGGTTTTGAAAGATAATACTAAAGAGGGATGGAAAGATAAAATTACCAAAGCAATTAAATCATTCTTCTCAAAACGCAAATCTGAAGAAAAAGAAAAAGAAGAATAAAAGCGATTTTTTTAATTGAAAAATAATTTAACAGTTGAATTTATTTTAACAATTAATTAAATGATATTGCAACTAGAATTTTTACATTTTATGAATTATTTCATTGTGATGTAAATTTTTGATTAGAAAAATACATTCCTTATTTTTAATATCGATGGAAATTATTTCCAGTATGACTAAGTATCTGTAATGCCTCTTATCAACAATTTAAAAATATATATCTATTTATATTCTTTATAAAAAAAACGAAAAAATTAAAGTTCATCTTTAGCATCTTCATAATCATCGCCATCTTTGTCATCAGTTTCAGAATCAGCATCTAAATCTTCACAAAGACTCAAAGATCGTGTACATATGTGATTGACAGTATCAGAACTGCCCTTTTTGAAAATACTTGTGATATAATCTTCGTTGTCATCAATTATTTCTTCACACTAAAATTAAAAATTAATTATTGCTTAAGTAGGCAGATCAAAATTTTATTTTGTCTTATACTTACAGTAAAACGTAGACTTTTATTGAGATCACTATCCTGGACAATATTAACTTTACCCATGTCAGGATTCATACCACCAGAAGGTGAAATCAAATTAAGTATCGTGAGTTTTTTATTAGATTTGTATCTCGCACGTACATAGTCATCTAATTTAGCACATACATTTTCTAATATTTCAGAAAAGTGAGTTTCAGATTCTATCATTGGTACCTAAAAAAAAAAAAACAATAATTGATAATTTTGTTTGATTGATCAATTGAAAATAAAAAATCTAAAAATCTTTATGAAATTAAAGTTAGCTGTTACTTTACAATTTTTTAATTTTATTTAACAAAAAAATTTGTTCCAAAAAATTATTTTTAAAAAATTGCATTTTTAATTTTTTAAAATTTCTACATGTCAATTTTTTTTTTTTTGCCATCATTTATTTGCTATAAAATTCTTAAATATATGCTAAATTAATTTTCATAAAATCTTTAAAAATGAAGATGAACAAAAGGAACTTTGAAATTTTACGAGAATTTAATTTATTTGAATTATTTTTATGAAGAAATAGTAATTAATTAAACTACCTTCTTGTTAACCATATTTCCATGAGCATCTATACGACTTCCTACTTCAATTTGACGAGAAGGATCTATTTCAGCCAAGGCATTTTCTATTTCTTTGATAGTCGCTCTACAAACTAAAAAAATTTTTTAATTAATATTAATAAATAATAATTAACAAAATGAAACTAAAAATAAATATCTTACCAACGCATTTTAATTCATCAGCATGTACTTCACTTGTGTCAAAGTCATATTGTGCATTTATCGCTACAATAAAAAATAACAAAACCACCATAAAAATATTTAAACGCATTATTGGAGATTATATATTTCCGATATAAAAATCTAGAGTAACGACTTATTGAAACGTCCAGGATTTAATAAACATGTGGCACTTAAGCTAGAATGATTTAAACTATTAAAGGTAAGGTCTACTTATGTTGTATTGTATTGTTTTTTTCAACCGTAAAATTTAAACTCACTAATAACAGCTGCCCACGTGTAAGCAACTCTCCTATCAAATACATACATTCATACTTATCTAAAATAAACATACGTAATATTTATAAAATCAAGTTAAATATATTAGATTAATATATATATATATATATATATATATATATGTAATACTGTCAAGTCATCAAAAATTACATCAGTCGGTCATTTAAATTTTTTTGTTACCTAAAAATTTTATAAAATCAAAATTAAAAAAAGTTTGCCCAGTACGTACCGCCATCTATCACCTTCTAGCTCTGAAACTTGAAACTACCAATTACTCTCTTTCTCTCTCCACCAATATGAAGTGCTAATTTTTTTTTGGAGGTTTAGAATTATTTAACCTCAAAAATATAAAAATGGGTGAAAATGATAATATAAATAAATTAACAAATGGTGAACAAAGTGATGTTGATTCACCGAATCCACCAGCCATGGAAAAATTAATTCCTGACTTTGAAAGTTTTGATGACTTTCTTAAGGTAAATAAAATAATTTTTTTCTCCACGTGCTTGAGGTTATGAATTTTTAAAATTTCAATTTAAATAATTTAATTTTTTATTAAAATTGTTTGTAATTTTATTGAACTAATTAATAACTAAATTACTTTTAGGCTGGATTTAGCGGAGTTGGAAATGGAATCAAGGCGGCAAACAGCTTACCGAAAGGCGAGAATTTTCAGTACTACTCATGCTTTCAAGCCTTTAAAAATTTTCGAATAAAGCAAACTAAAAAAATAAGCGAATTAATGCAATCTATCGTAGAGAGAGCTGGAACCGCAGGTAGTATGACAGATCGTGACACTGACGAAAAATTTAAGCTTTTAATAGACACCAACGACATTTTTCTGGATCGAACAAGTGTTCTGCTGGACGAGGAGGCGGGAATAAAAAAGAACCTTGACGTAGAATTGATCGTAACATCTACCAAGACAAATAATTACGGCTCGTGGAATACATCAACAGTAAACCAAAGCCCCAAGGCTGCTGGTACACAAAACGCACAAGCAATAAGACTTCTAGCAGCTAAAAATGTCCAGCGACCCCAGTTGTCTTTCAAAGACAAAATTGACAACAGTTCAAAGCCCTGGGAGCCGCGAATTAAGGACAAGCCAAACAGCTTGAAACCTCTGGGAATTTATTTGATTGACGGAATCAACGGTCAAGTCTTTTGTCATCCCTATGAATTTGAACTGGACCGATTTTCACCGCCAGAAAAGCAATTAAAGAAAGAAAAACCTATCAAGTATAAATCCCTTGAACAAACTCCTTTGATAGTAATAGAAACACTAGAAGATTTACAAATAATGATTAAAGATTTGGAGAAATATGACGAAATAGCTGTCGATTTAGAACATCATTCATACCGTTCATTCTTGGGGATAACGTGTCTCATGCAAATATCAACCCGAGACACTGATTATTTAGTAGACACTCTGTCGTTAAGGTCAGAGTTACATTTACTCAATGAAATATTCACCAAGCCGTCAGTATTAAAAGTATTTCATGGAGCAGATCTGGATATCCAGTGGCTTCAACGCGATCTTTCGCTTTACGTCGTTAATATGTTCGATACTCATCAAGCAGCTAAGCACTTGAACTTGCCTTACCTCAGCTTGGCTTATTTATTAAAAACCCACTGCAAAGTCGACCCCAACAAACACTTTCAACTGGCAGACTGGCGTATCCGTCCTTTACCCGAAGAGCTGATGAAGTACGCGCGAGAAGACACGCATTACTTACTCTACATCAAAGATATCCTTCAAAATGCTTTGATCGACGCAGCGAATGGACAGACGAATATTCTGAAGGCTGTTTATGACCGTGGAGTTGATATTTGCAAGAAAATTTACGAGAAGCCAATATGTGATGAAACCAGCTGTATGAACATGTACCGTAAGAGCCAGAAGATGTTCAATAATAAGCAGTTGTACGCGTTGAAGGAGCTGTTTGCTTGGCGAGATGAAACTGCTAGGCAAGAAGACGATAGTACTGGTTACGTTTTGCCGAATCATATGTTGCTGAATATTGCTGAGACCTTGCCCCGTGAAATCCAGGGTATTCTGGCGTGTTGTAATCCTATTCCTCCGTTAGTTAGGCAGAATTTGTTGAAGCTGCATAAATTGATTCTTAAGGCGAGAGAACAGCCACTGATAAATCCGGTGCTGCAGCAGGAATTGAGGCCGAGGTTAAATTTAAATAATCAACCTGCAGATTCTGATATCTGGATGTGGTCGCCGCATGATAATATTACTGGAGTTGATGTTCAAGCTAATTTACCTTGTCTGATTAATGACGAGGATCAAGAAAGTTCCAGTATGGACACCAGTGATGATAAGAAAAATGATAAAAATTTAGAGAAAAGTAGGAAAGTAAAACATCAAGTGACGGTGTTTGATAGCTCGGCTAGTTCTGATGATGAAGACTCCGCTGCCAGGAAAAAACTTTTGAAAGCTAAGAAATTATTTGTCAGCCCGTTCCAGAGGTACAAACTTGTGATTCCCATGATTGCAGCAATAGAAGAACTGGAGCGTAAGAGGAAAGAAGAAGAGGAGAAACGGACTGAGGAAACTAAGACGAGACTGGCTGAAAGAGAAGCTGCGGATAATGCTGAGCGTGTCGAACGCATTCATGAACACTTTATGAATGTTGTCAGTCAGAATGATGAAAGTAAGAAGAAAATTGATGATAATCTTCAAGTCCCGCTGACTGCGATACCCGGGACCAAAAAAAGAAAACGAGATATTGAGGAGGATGATGATGATGATAATGATAATGATGATAAGAATAATGTCAGGCAAAGTAAACTTGATTTCACAAATCCAGCACCTGCTAAAGCGAGTACTGTTGTTGTTAATTCTTTCAAGAAGCGACAAAGGAACGATGAGGATGATGATGATGATCATAATTGTCAGCCGAAAAAAAAGATGACTAAGAAGCAGAGAAAAGCTTTTAATAAGGCTAATAATAATTCAGTCAGTCCTGTTAAACCATTAAATGCTTACGCAAATTCAGAGTATGTTTTAATTTGTTTTTAATGTAGAATTATTTTTAAATTTTATTAATGAATTTTTATTTTTTAGCTTGAAACGAAAAGCGCAAAAGGCTTTGAATAGAAAAGAGTTGGAGGAAAAGGGTATGCTGCCTAAACAAGATTTCAATTACAAAGAAGTTGATTTCTCCAGTTTTCAGGGCGGTAGTAAAACTTCTTCTGCTAAGAACGCGCCTTTTATGCAGCAGCAGGTAATTATTATCATTATTATTATTGACATATAAGTGTTGGAAATCAAGTCTATTATTTATTATTTTTTTTTTTTTTTCAGAACAAAGAAAAGAGAAAAAAAGGCAAGGGCAAAAAGAAGAAAGAAAAATTAGGGATATGAAACTTTTAAAAATTTTTTATATATATTTCATATAATATAAATATACAAAATAAAATAAAATAATCTATTTCCACGAATTATTGATAATTAATAATCTAATAAAATTTAATACATATTTTCTAAATAAAATTTTTTATTGCTTGACAAATTTTAAAGTATAAAAATTCTAACTAATTCGGACACATTTATATAATATTAGTTGAGAAATTGTTGCATTAACATGGATACAGAAGTGATTGACTGACGTGGCTATGACCTTGTATGCCGTGGTTTATCATTTATTTTTATTTTCTTTGACCACGAACTATATATACATAGTTGAGATTGTTCATTTAAATAAAAGTCAAATTGGTGTAACGCGTGTCAATATGAAGTTCTATTTGTTAATATTTTTTCTTTTTATTAGCTATCAAGGGATACTTAGTATTAGTGTTAACCAGACAAATATATATAATAATACAAGAACTAACAACGAAAGCACTGTCATTGAACGAAAAAGATTTTTTAGTTGGCCAAATGGCACAAAAATAAAATCCCCCGCGACTGTTCCTAGAAAATTATTTAAAAAGGGGAAAGTTGATTGTTTTGGATTCGGAGCATCAATTGCTAATGGATTTGACTGGCTGTTTCAACCTGGAGGCTCACAAGCTCATGAGCTGGATATAAAATTTTTTTTAACTTCAAGAAATCACCCTCACCGTGTGCTTGTTTTAACAGGAAATCAATTTGGTCTAGAGTGGACGGACTTTAAAATTGAACGTAAGACAATTATTATCGTTCATGGATTTCTATCGGATGGAGAAATGTCTTGGTTACAAGACATGGATCAAGCTTTTCGTTTATGGGTAATTTTATTTTTCTTCTTAAATTATGTAAAAAAATTTTAATTAATATATGGCTTGATGTTCAGGATGATGTTAATGTTATAATAGTGGACTGGAGTGCTCACGGCAACACCTGGAATTATTATAAAGCTGCTGTTAATACAAGATTCGTGGGCCGTGAAATCGCTAAGTCAGTAATTAAGTCTCCTACTTGAATAAATAATTAGAAAATATATTTAAATAACGGAAAAATTGGTTCATGCTAAATTGGCCTTGTAATTATAACTAACAGTATGATGTTGAAGTTAACAGACATCTGACAATTTTCAATGAAGACAATTCTTCATGAAGAAATTAAAAAAAATTATAAGTGCAAATTTATAAAAATTTTTTTATCATAAAAATTCTAAAAATTTTCAGATGTCTACTGATTTCAGTATCATTGGTAATATTCATAATTTTATGGATATATTTTTACTTGATGTTTATTTTTTTAATTCTAATAAAATTTTTCGTCGGTTTCCCAGAACAGTCAAGTATTAGATAAATAATAGGGGTAGTTAATATAAATTTATAGTACATATATAATTAAAAATAAACAGAAAAATTTTAATTGAAAGATTAATTTAATATACTCGTTGAAAAAACATTAATGAAGAAAATAAAATAAAAATTCAATGACCTCAGTTACTGAGTACTAAATTAAACATCAACTTATTGTCTACGGAAAATTTTTATTAAATATAATTATGTTGCCTCTGATAAATACTTGATGATTCAGAAAACTTATGAAATATTATTGAAAAATTAAAAATACATTTAACTGAACTATTGAAATTTAAATTATATATTATATTTAAATTAAAATGATATTTATTATCCAGACTTTTATCCCACATTGTAAATGCAACGGAATCAGCATCTCCAGAGTCTCCGAAAACTAACTGGGGTTTGATTCACATGGTCGGGCACAGCCTGGGAGCTCACATATGCGGAGTAGCGGCTGATGAATTTAAAAAGTTTAAATCGTCATGGAAAATTACACGGATAACTGGACTAGATCCGGCTCAGCCATGTTTTTCAAACAGTAGTCTCTCATTAGACGTTTCTGATGCTCCGTTTGTTGATATCATTCACACAAACGGACAATTAATGACAAAGCTTGGTCTGGGTCTTCCAGAGCCGATAGGTCATGTGGATTTTTATCCCAACGGAGGGAAAGCTCAGCCTGGCTGTCTCATCCACCATGGATCAGCTCTTTATTTTATCCATCTTCCAAAGCATCGTACGATTTGATTAATAAATTTTTTTTTATCTTTAAATTAAAAGATGTAATTCAAAATATTTATAATTTAATTTAATATTATTTTAGTAATAAATGAAGCTATTTGTAGCCACGGACGCTCATACGTATATTTTACCGAGTCAATAAACGCAGCGATATTAAAAGACGGGAAATTTTGGTCTCACGCATGGGATGGATCATATCGGAGCGCTGTGCAATTAATCAATGAAAGCTGCGATTCAAATACTTGCATCGAGATGGGAATCAATTCAAACAATTATTTGACACGTGGTTCATTTTTTACCGTTACTTCTAAATCTAAGCCTTACTACTGTACTTACTTATTTTTTTTTTATTACCAAGTAATTAGCTATAAATATGTACAAAGATTTTACAGTTTTAACTTTTTATTTATGCAGATGTTGATGACAGAGACTTATCAGAGTTAATGGACCAACTACGGAATGATTTTAGCGATGAGTATCTAGACTAATTAAACTTAATGCTCCTTATTACGTAAGTAAAATTACAGTATGTGTTTATGTATTAAATGATGTTTCTTCTGGAATGCAATCACGTACAAGTTACCAATAATTTAAATATTAAATAAATGATTTAAAATTCTACTAATAAAATTAGAATAAAAAAAAATTAATAATTAAATAAGTTTATTTTTATTATGAACATTCGAGGTTTATTACAATATATTTTAATAATAATCAAAAATGATATTTATTTACAATTAAAAAAATGATTAAATGTTATATACAAGTGCATTATTTGGTAGCGCTTTTTCAAATTTAAAATATAATATAGACAATTGCTTATTCTTACTAACAATTACTCGATGATTTTAAACGAATAAATGAATTGATAAATAAAAAAATTCAACATTAAAAATACATATAATCGACTAATTAGCCACTTAATTAATGATTGAAATTAATTAAAAAATAATAAACAAGATTAAATGGATATTTAAGTGTAAATAATAGATCAATCATATGGAATTGGCACTTGTGAAGGCATTACTGTCATTAAGCCCAGCTTAAAGTCAATTCAACGGATAACTTGAACATAAGTAGCAGGAAATATTCCCGTTCTACCCGCACACTCGCCAATCCACCATCCGTCCGGTTGTTTCTCATGTATAGTAATCAAATCACCCGGTGTAAGGCTCAATTCATCATTAAGATTAGCCGCGTACTGATAAATAGCACGACACTGCTCAAGCTGATCATGTTTATTATCTCCCATATCAGAAACGTCAACATCCTGATTGTTATTATCTTCAGACTGGCTGCTGAATTCATCAAAATCGCTAAAGTCTTCTTCATCCGGAGGATTTTCCGAGTTACCGTCTCCAGCAGTGCGATCGATCCACTGGTGTCGCTCATTTTCGGCGTCTTTAGTCAGATGAATATCATCAACAAGATCCTCATCAACATCCGGAAATTGGAATACTTCATTTTTAGCCCACGCGGGTATCTTAAGAACACTCTGCTGAAGACCCTGCTTGTCGCGAGATACAAGAATGTGCTCAGCCAGAGGATGTTTACCTCTTTTACCACCTTCAACTTCAACAAGTGCGCCAGCAACTTTATACCTAGCAGCCTCCAAATACGTCAGCATTGAACGCATGTGATGCAATTTGTCCGTGACATTTTGAGTACTTTCGTCGGCAGCGAATGCAGGTGTTTGAATAAATGCACGGTGGAGTGTCTCCAGACCTTCTCTCCCTCGTCTCTCTCTCTCCAAATCCTGTCTTATTAAATGCATCACTCTCACAAGTGCTTGCTTTCGTCGCTCACGATTCATCGCCAAGGTCACGTGCTCAGCGTAAAAGTCAGGAAGCAGCTGGTCAACACTTGACGCATCGTTGCTGTCCATACGCCGTATTAAATTTCTCAGGATATCAATATCTTGGGCAACACTACAGTTACGTACTGGTGTTGCTAGACGGTCAGCGCTCTAAAAATAATATCAACAAAAATATTAATAAATTTACAAACATTCATATCAATCATTATAATTGTTTATGATAAATAATTCATCAATAACAATGACAGTTATGTGTACAATTACCGGTGAATTATTTACCATAATTACAATAAATAAAAAGGCGATTTGACAGCCGAAATGGAAGTATAGATTTCATAATTAATAGAAAAGAAAATTACTTAAATAAAATCACAACACTAATAATACAAATAGTTAAATTTCATTAAATATCTTCAGACGAATAGGTTATTTTTCAGTTTAGGAAATTATAAAAATTCGATAAGTTTTTTTATTAAAAAGTTATCCGCGAAAAAAACTGCCAAAATTTGAATTTTTACGATTTTTAAAATTTTGAAACCCTGTAATTTTTGAACTACTTGACCAATTAAGCTCATCTTTGAATTTGACCTTGGTATTTGTCTAAAAATTAAGTATGTTGAGTTTGGAGAAGATCCATAATGAATTAGAGACGCTATCGTCTGGACAAGCCGCGTTATATCGTATACATATTAGGGTGTGCCAAAATGTAACTTCCTTGATGGACCTTTTAAAATTTGAATTTTGAGTTCCACTTTTAACAGGAGTTGTGTTTGGGCATTTCCTGACATATTTTGAGCGTTAAGGATTTTTATAAAATTTTTTAACAGTAGTTTTATTCGGCCAAATTTTGAAATTTGGAAATTCCAGCAAAAAAGCCAAAACAAAACTCCTGTTAAATAATTCTATGAAAATCAAATAAATCCTTAACGCACAAAATATGACAAGAAATGCCCAAACACAACTCCGGTTAAAAGCGGAACTCAAAATTACAATTTTAAGAGGTCTATCAAGGAAGTTAAATTTTGGTACACCCTAATACATGTATACATACATATATAAACTTTTGAACCATATGTATTTTCTGAATCAGCTTGACAAACTGAGTCAGAAAATATCAAAATTCTTCAAAAGTTTTGTCATAAGCACAAATGCAATAGTTAAATTTCTATGAAATCTACTAAAAATTAAATACTTGATATGTATATATCGACGTTCTAATTAGCAAATTGTCTAACTCCATTTTAGAGAATCTTCCATTTCTACGAAAATACAATTAGTTCGAAATTTATTATCACTTTAAAAAAGCATTTAATATTTAATAGAGGTAGAATATTGTGATTAGGATCATGAAATAAATTATAATTCGACTATTACTACATTAAAATGTTAAAAAATCACCCTCTAAAAAATAAGGAGTAGATCAATTGCTAATTAGACCGTCGATATCTATTTCTATTGTTAATTTATACTGAGTGTTAATTTAAACAAACAAACCTGTTGAAGACGAGGAGCAAGTGCTTGCAAATGCGCCAAATAAACATTAGCTAGATCCTTGAGAGCACTGAGCCTCTCTTCCTCGAGTAACTCCATCTGCTTGGCGCCCTTTCTCACAGTGCTCTCGTACTCGAGTCTCGCTCTCTCAGCTCTCACGCTGACAGTGTAGAACTCGGTATCGGCTCTACGTGACGAGTCCTCGGCCTTTCTCCGTCTATTCTCAAGTTTATTGACCTCTTTCTCGGTCATATGATGGCTCGATGTCTTGTTATTGTTCTGCTGGCTCTGGCTAATCGATTGAATCCGAGCCAAATCTTGAAGCCGCTCATTTTCCCGAGCACACGCAAAACTCTGCTTCTTACTTTTAGCCGCTACTCCACGCCATTCCTGCAGCGATTTCGACGCCTTGTCCACTGAACTCTCGATGGCCTTACGGGAACGGCCTTGAGCCTCTGCTACACCCACCTGTGTGTTAAATGTCGTTATTGCAACTCAACATTCCACTTAAATATCATTCGCAGTAAATAAATATAAATACTTGTAAGTATACTTATTCTAGCTTATTTATTAAAGTATTATTTTTATTATATATATATTAATAATTTATACCCTCAATGGTTTTGCCAGTTGTTCACTTAGAGCGATTCCCCAAGCGCGGTGAGCTTCTGCAGCAGCCTCCATCTCTTCACCGACATTTCTCCACGCCTCATTAACACCTCCAGAGCTGTTTCCACCTATTAATAATAAACAATATGTCATTCAATACCTTTTGTTAGTATTACTTAACTATTACGCTAATTTATTACTATTGTTAAGTAATTATTGAATAATTTTTATTTGTAAAATTCTTTAGCTAAATATACAATTTATTTTTACAATAGAAATTAACAAAAATTTGATCATTTTTTCATTTAATTAATAATTTAAAAAAATTATTATCAAAATTCTTATTTAGTAGATTTTTTTTTCTAAATTTTTTACATTTTTCCATAAAAAATTTTTTTTTTTAATTTTCTCACATCTTAATTTATTTTTTAAAATATTAATTATTCAAAAAATAATTAAAGTTTTACTTCCACAAAGAAAAAAAATTTATCTCAACTTAATTTTGTTTCAATAAAATTTCTAACATTAAAAAAAAAAAATCTATACTAAGTAATTTTATTTCATGTCATGATATTTAAACAGACTTTACTTAGTCATAGATTAATTACTGTAATCATCAAATAAAAAATAAGCAAAAAAAAAAAATTATTATGCATACCTTGGTCTTTTGAACAGGCTTTCGTTAACTTGCTACTTAATTTGGACAGTCCTTTTGCGTAGGAAGCTTCTAATTCAGCTCTATAAATTGAAGAAAGTATAATTATTATTATTATTATTATTAAAAAAAAGAATAGTAGATTAAATTGATTAAGTAGATTGAAAATGTACCTTTCATGAAGAATAGCTGCGAGTTCTTTGCAAAAATCTCCGCCTTGTTTAACATACCTCCGTATGTCTTCAAAGCCACCGGGACCAGTCTGAAATAATAAATAATAAAAAATAAATTAATTGATTGAAGATATATATTAATAAACGGTGGGAATATGCGAGTGTTAATTTATTACAGTAAATTTGTCATATTTTAATACAGTTGAGCGGATGAATCGGCACGAACGTGCAGTCGTGCAAAAAGTTAGCGGTATCTACGCTCCGTAGCGCACGAAATCCAATATTTCAAATATAATGTTGTGTCTCCAACATCATTTGAGAGGAGAGAATTACTATAATTTACATTCAAATTACAGAATTGTATATTCACTTCGACCTCTGTAATTTACTCTCCACGTATTTAAACGACATAAATCCCGGCGCTTACTTATTTCAGCTCTTTCAAATTATTCCGTGTCGCCGGAAAGGTAAACATGCTAAAGTAGGGCTTCCTTTTTAATATAAAACTAATTCTTATTCTTATAATTTACACATGTAAATTTTACAATTATTCATTATAATTAAATTAGCAGACATCTGACAATTTTTGGAATTTTTATAACTAGTTAATTATTATAAAAAATATTTTTAAAAATTTGCACTTATAATTTTATAAAATTTCTACATGTGAAATTTTTTAAATTATTTCATTGTTATAAAAAAGTAAATTACAATTAAAAAAAATACTTAAAAAAAATTGCACGCATAATTTTTTAAATTTTCTACATGTGAAATTTTTTAAATAATTTTTTCAATAAAAAAAATTATAAAAATTTTCAGAAGCCGGCTTATTTAATTTTATTCTAGATGAATAATAAAACAAAATTTGGTAATCAGCTAACAGAGAGTGTCACATATTAAATTTCATTATGGCATTTGGGATTTTATTAACTTTCAAAGCACTTTACTTTATTGATTCCTCAAATTTAATAATAAAAATAAATAAAATGTATTCAATTACAACATATGAATATTAGAGAGTCTTGTTATATGATAAAGTTTAAAAAGTATTAATGGTGATAAATTATGACATTGAAATTAATAGACATTTGATAACTTTTTTTAAAAAGTAAATTATGACAAAAAAATATTCTACACAGAGAAAGTGTGATAAAATATAAATGCAAATTTTTTGAATAATTTTTTGTACTAATTTATTTCTTTAAAAAAATCCAATCAAGATTTATTACAGAAGATTTTATCAAAATTAAAAAGTTGAAATTTTATAGTTCAATTGACCCGGTCTAACTTTCAAAGCTATTGTAGTCCGTTATTGCCGTCAAACAAGTTATCAAAAAAAAGAAGAAATAGATGAACAAAAAATTTTTATAACCGAAACCTACTTTTGCAAAATTACGAATTGAAAAGAACCAACAATCTCATGTCATTGTTTAATAATTAATATAATATAAACTTTTTGTGTTGAAAAAAACAAAAAAAAAAATTCATTGTGTTTTGAATGATCATTTGAAAGAAACAATTTCCCTTGTGCTTTCATTTTCTTCCTTGGCATTTCACCAGTGCAGCAAACTTATTATTATTAAACAAAAAATAAACATTTTAAATCTCATATCATGATGTCCTGAGATTTCCGGTTCCCTTTCACCTTGTCTTGTCTATTCAAGTGTATCTACTGTGTATACATACATATACATATACATTATATTGTATATTATATAAACTTGAATCATTTATTAATAATCTTTAATCACGCGAATAATAGATAAATTTATTTAAATAAAAAATAAAAAATCTAAAGTTTGATATTTAAATAATTTTCCAGAGAATACGCTGTAATAATTATCATTCGAAAGTTGTTTCCACTTGAATATTTAATTACAATATTAAAATTTTTAAACAGTTGTTGCACTAATAAGTTTTGTGAAATAGTTACAGCTATGATAGTGTGAGTAATCTGAGGTGTAATATGTCTACCGGGTTCTGAAGTCTCAAGTCTTGAGTCCGCAAACTAAAGTACCGAATAGTTATACTCTTAAGACTAATAATTGCCATTTTGTCACCGTTAAAAACTGTCGCAGGACATTTTCAGTGCTAACAGAGCGTGACCACCTGATAGCGGGATATGTATTTCTCTTTCTGTGCATACCATATCATACGATAATGATAATGATAATTATGATATATAATAGACATCAAGTTAAACTATTTCGCATGTATTCTTATGCTTATGTACATACATATATAATGGAGTATCTACAAAGACAGACACAGTGACCAGTTGATAAGACAAGAATTATTTATTTTTACTACACACTTTTAATACTTGGATGTAAGTGTTAGCTTACGCGGTCAAGACTGGTTCTCCGGTGAAAAAAATTAGTAATAAATGCTCGAAAAAATTATTTTTAATAATGTAGATGTAAGAGACAGAGAAGAAATATCAAATTAAATTAATTACATAAATAAGATTATCTAGTTTATTTTTTAAATTTGATGTCTTATTCAAATAAAGATGAGATAAAATTTTTATTTTTATTTTATTTTAAATGGGTCCGTTAATGTAACATTTTTTGTATGTAATAAAATCGATTAGATGTTTATCTCTTATCTCTGATGATAAAATTTTCAACTATGTTTATTACTTTAATTATTATATGTATATAAATTTATTTTTTTAAAATTGATGTCTAAAATTCATTAAGTTAAGTTAAAATTTACAATTAGTAGTTTTTTTAAATACTAATAAATTTTTAAAATTTTACATTATAAAAATATAAAATACTGACAATTTTTAGAATTTTTATAACCAATCAATTATTATAAAAAAAATATTTTTAAAAATTCACACTTAAAATTTTTTTTTAATTTCTACATATGGAATTTTTTTGCTGAATTTTTTTCATTATAATTGAATTGTTATAAAAATTTATTGTGTCAATTTAATTCAGTATTATAAAATATTAGAATAATATATTTCTAATAATAAAATAAAATGAACTTTAATGTTTTCGTTTAAAAAAACAAAATTATCTATCAAAGTTAAATGACTAAAAATGAAGAAAAAAATTTTAATTGGACAAAAAAAAGCTTAGAACAAATTTCTAGATGACTTGGCAAACTGGAAGTGGTTAAAAAATAAAGTAATTCCTCCTTTCTCTTGTATCTAAACTCACTCATGCGATTGTCACGAATTAGTCATAACATAGATAAGACAGTAACATCTTACTAAAATGTGTAGTACTTAATCTTATGCTAGTGAACAAAACATGTTACAATGTTTCATAAATTTAACTACAGTAACGGTGACAATTAATTAAAGCTTAATAATTAAATTATCTTAATTAAAAAAATAGCGTCGAAATAACCGGACAATAATTCCGTTACACGTTACTGAAATTCAATATATCAATAAAAAAAAAAAATGATATATTTTATAGTGATAACTTTAATCAAATAATTTACTGTTATAATTAGCATAATTTGCTAATTTAAAGATTTTTATTATCTATAATAATATTTAATCGACATAGCAATAATTTTGCTGTTAAAATTGTCACTTTTATATTTTAGACTGTTATGAATATTTTAATGCAATTAGTAATCAGCATATTTTTTGTGTAATTAATCATCGAATTAAAAGTATAAAAGAAATAAATTAAAAATAATTTAGGAATATATAAATGGAACAATTAATGTTATGACTATCAATAACTACTTTACGAGATTCTTTGTTGTAAAAAAAATCTGGTGTATAGTAGTTTAGTACTAAATTGAATTTTTTATCCATAGACAGACAACAATTGAATGTATTCAATCACTTTCTTTTCTCCTAAATAACTGCTGAAAATTTATGAAAAGACTAGACGATATGCGCTCCCATTTCGGTGTTTTGAGAGTCGTTAAGTCTTAAAACTTTCACATTACATTACATCGTAACGTACGTTTATTGACTATAACAGCTTTGGCTTAAAGTGGATGGATACAATAACAACGGCGATCTCCTCAGCCTTATTTAGTTTTTAAAATAAAAACTCATCATCAACCTGTCGCTGTGATTGACAAATTATCACTAAAATTTTTTAAAATAATCCTTTTAGTTAATGATGTTTGACTTTTAGATAAATAATCAAACAACCTGACGATAAACATTGTTGTCATAATACGTCGATTAATTTTTTCCAACAACCTTGTGTTGAAATAATTGTGAAATATAGAAATAGTAAGTACGCGTACTGTGTACACGCCAATTTAACAGCTATTTAGGATTTTAATCGGCGATCTGTGTTTCGATAGAATGAGAAGCCGAAAGAACAAAAAATCTATAAAAAAAAAAAAACTATAAAAAAAAAAAAAAAAAAAACTGATAGACTATCTACTATCTACTTTCTCTTGCTATCGTTTATACTTTAATAGATTACCTGTGCAAGTACTGTACTGCACGCGTTACTAATTAGTGATTTCACCCTACATTTTTATATTCACTAAATAGTAAGCTACTTGTTATTTTTTATTTATACGCTGACCGCTGTTAATCTGTCACGCAGGTTGACCTTCGATCTCTTATAAAATAAATTCGAGAGACAAAAAATAATTATAAAAATTAAACTCCAAGACCATGAGACTGAGCAGACAACTTTCTTTTAAGTTAATGTGTATTTCTTCTTATTCTCTTCAGCCGTGCCGGTGAATCTCAAAGAATAATTATCGGAGTACATGGCATGGATTTAAAATAAGAAAATTGTAATAACTCGATCTCAATAAATCGTTATATAACCATTCTTACAATCATAAAGACCTTGGGTGAATTCTGGTTTGAAATTTTCGCAACCTTACACCCAGCAATCTTGCACTCACTTTTCAATGCTAATGTGATCCATTGTCTTTTTTCATATCATACAAGAATAATTTAATTAAGTAAACAATTAATTAATTTCCAACAATTGAAAGTTATGTTTATGATCTTTGACCAAAAGCAATTATTTTTAGATTTAAATTTCTTGAAATATTTAAATGTTGAGCACGTTTTTGTTGAAAAAAAAAAACTACTTTCTTTCGCACTTAATTTCGCACACGTACGTTGAATATTCGAAATTTCTCCATCAAGGATTAGCAACAAATCCACGATTTCTTACTTTTTTTCAATATACCTACAATATATATAAAAATAAATAAATTAAATAAACATGTGTGTATTCATGAGTTGTCATACATAAATAAATATCTTGTTTTGAAGCTTACGCTCATTTCACCTTACATTACATTAAACATAAGCTTGTGCAGTAGGATATCCTCACGGTCAATATATACATTGACATATCTCAATATACCGATCTCGTCTATTCTCCATATATCGCTGCAGAAATATCAGTATATACATATAAAAATATAGACGTAGCACGTATATGTACATCACTAAATCCTGGGCAACAACAACAGCGAATAACGACATATGTATAGTATTTTCACCACGCAACTTTCCCACACTTTCCACGTGTAGAGCCAGAGCACGACTCGCGTAAAATTAATCACTTCAAAATAACTACTCTATTCTATTGTTTAACAATTTATATTCATTGTCATAGTCATGAGCTTAAATAACTTCCAAATATTCATCTGAAACAATTTGAAATTTTTACAAGATGTTTTTTTTTATGATACATTTTTTATAACGAAGCAATTTAATATTCCTGTCATAAGTAAAAATAAATTAAAATTTATAGCACCAGTCAATAAATATTTTACACTTTTCTTATAGACATCAACCTTTGAGATTATTGATAATAAAAAGTTATTTATGATTTTCTTGAAGTAAAGATGCCTATTTGTATTGAATAAATTAGATCATAAAATGTTTCAATAGATGCAACGCTATTAAAGATTTCTACAATAAATTTTACTGCATAGAAAAGTACGGAAGAAAAATCTATTACTTCTGTATCATAAAGTTATGACTCAATTGTTTCTCGGATAAACTTATGACTGTATCGTAAAACTACAATACCGTCATAAAATTATCATGCATAATTGTAAATTATTAGCTAGTAATTTCGAAAGTTTCAGAAAGATATTCGTGAAAGATGCAAGAATGAAAACTTTTTAAGCGGCACTAACTTTTTGATAAATATTGTTATAAGATTCCAAACACTTTATATTAATAAAAAATAGCTCCATTATCTATATAATTTATTTACAATGTATAGTTCCCTTGCTAATAACAAGAGGAGTTAATACCACCATAAATGAACAGCACCACTAGCTAAGTATAATGAAAACTAAAGGTAGACACACCTACGCCGAACTCTGTTTCTTCCATAAAATTATCAACAATCATATCGTCTCATATGGAAATACTAAGTCGTGTTACTATAAACGTGCTGAGAACAGGACTGTAAAATAATAGTTTGCATACTAATAAATGATACATTCAATAATGTTCTAAATTTGAACTATTCAACAGTTAATAAATTTTCTGGTAATAATTTTTTTATAATACTGAAGACTGAAAACTATTGAAAATTTTTAATTTTTTTTTTTTCATTTAAATCAAAATTTTAAAAATATTTTTAAAAAATTGCATTTATAATTTTTTTAATATTCTACATGTGGAATTTTTTTTATCAAGAAATAATTAAACTTGGTTTGCAAAAATTTAAGTATAAAAAATTTACAAGTGTTTAAATTTCAACCCAAATTTCTTATAAATAAAATTATAAACAACTTGTTATAAAATAATAAAAATAAAAAACACTTTAAATAAAATTGAACAAGCAATAAAGACATTTCATGATAATTAACAACATCCTAGATTGCTCTTCGTGTTTCAGATGTCAAGATAACTGTCAAAGGCTTTCAGTATCTATATACATTTATAATCAACAGGATGAACGAGGAAACTGCGCCGCGAACAGACAATATGTTGGACGAGTCATCACGCTTGATGATGTAATCCTGAACTATTGGCCATCGCGTGTTCAAGTGCATTACCAGAATCAATAGTATTCCCTACAATACAATCCATATAATATCTTGGTTGTCATCTGTGCATCGATGTTGTCGTCGATATACATAGACAACATAAGAAAATAAAATGCAGAATCATAGCATTAATTAAGCGGTGTAATGATACCTCAACTAAAGATGTTACGCATCACTGCTACTTATTAAGTCAATACTAAAGAATAATAAGGTAATTTTATTCAAGCAAGTCACGAGCAGCTTCTGTGACTAGTCAATAGTCATCAATAGACTGTGGTTCATAAACGAGAGTTCTTTAATTATTAACTTAATAATAATCTTTTAGTTATTTTAAATTAATAATTAATTACCCTGATAAAAAAAAAAAAGTATTGTGACAAAGAAAAAAGTATTGAAAAGTATTGGTTTTCTAGTCAATCCAATACTTTTCAATAGTTTTTTCTTTGTCTCAATACTTTTTTTTTTATTCAGGGTATGGTTATTATAGTAATCAGTGATCAATTATTGATCAAGCGACTTTTTAAATCGAAATAACGATGACCTAAATTAAGACCTAGTTAGAAAAGTAAATTCATAATTTAAGTTTATAAAAATATATGTATAATAGTAATAATAATACAGGAAATAATGATCTACCTCTTCAGTATCATGCTGGTGCAGTAGATGAGTTGATGCCATTAACCCTCTTATTGACCCGAGCATTCGCCGCTTGATTAAACCACCTTTCCCCACGTGTGATCGCAATTCCTTGTCTTCGAATCTGTGTCTCTTCTTGTGTCCCTGATCTCCATCACCACAATCATCCTTACGACGATTACCGCCATCATCATTATCATCTTCATCATTATCATTATTAATTTTATTATTATTATTATGATTAATATTATTATTATCATCGTCGTTACACAATTTGTCGAGGCTAATAGATACTGGAGTCAGCTTGAGCTTTATCCTACTGACATTCTCCGAGCTGGCAATCCTCTTCCGTAGTTTTCCGCTCATCATTTCCGGCTTGCCCGTCGTCTTCACTTTCTCAACTTGACAACATTCTAAAGCCTTCCGGGTCTGTAGGTCGTGAGAATTCTCATCCACATGATCCTCATCCTCCACATGATCACCACCATACTCACAATCTGGCCTTTTAATATCATGAGCATGAGATACTGCAGCAATAGAAGCGACCTGACCTTCCTCCTGTTCCTCAACGACCGAACCAAATTCCCGGGTACGCGCAGCTACCAGATCATAAAATCCACACCGGTTACCTCCTTTGCCTTTACTGATATTGCTGTTAATATCATTATCATCATCATCATCCTCACTTTGCTTTGCACGAACAACACCGACAGCTTGGAGTTTAGCGTGCCTCTGAACAACTTCGCCGAGCTTTAATTTCTCATCACGCAGCCACGATCGCATGCGAGTCCAGGCTTTACCTAGCCGACGATGCTTTCTACGTTTCTCCCGACTCTTCAAACTTTCTTTCGGGCACTCTGGATCCGAGTATGAACCCTCCGCAGTAATAGGAATAGGAACCACAGCGGTTTCCATAATCTTGATGTTTAAAGATTGAAAAGACTTTTGTTGTGAGTCAGTTAAATATTTATCCTTTTTAAGGTCAAGATCATCTTTTGACCTCGGAATTTCGTAGACTCGGTCGTCATTATTCTCATCTCCGCCCATCTTAAAATCTTTATTTCTCATTAGTTTTATTCTTCGGACACTCAAGCGACGTGTTTTTGGAAAATCGTACAGAGAATCTAAATCTAAAGACTTACGTGCACTTGTGTTTATAAAGTCCTCATATAATCCTTGCTCCGATTTGCCAATAGAATCATAACCTCCTAATCCACGTGTTTTTGGAAAATCATACACATCACATGAGCCATGCAAATTTAAATGATCTTTTTTATTTATTTTATTATCACTCACTCCAGGATCAACGTCATCAGTGTGTAAAAAACTAAAACTTATAACCGGCATACCATCTTGTCCAGTTTTAACATTAGTCAATGCAGTAATTTCAACACTAGTACTGTGTCGTCTCCTAACCCCTTCACAACTACTCATTACTGTAGTTGTATTGATAGTACTACTTGAATTACTTGACTTTGTTGGGCTGTTCGGGCACGTAACACTACAACTACTAGGCGCTGTATCCACCGACTGTGTACATAACTGACTGAAACTATTCAAGGCTTCGACGTTATTTTGGTATAGTACTTCACCGTCATAATCTTTAACCAATACATCATCATAATCATTAGTAACTTTGTTAGTGCTGTCTCCGTAACTTGAATTAACGTTGCTGTACGTAACAATATTTTCGAGTTGTTTATTTACATTTGGAAGGTTGTCTCGCTCATGATTAATGTTATCCTTTGGAGTATCATCATCAGTAGCATTTAATCCAACGAGAAATTTTAATCTTGCCATCCTCGTGGCACGTCCCAAGTCACTTTTAATAACAACTGACGATGACTCCTCTTGTCTCAAGTCACACGTGCTTGTCATTTTAATTATATTATCTATTAATTTAATTTAATTTAATTTAATTTAATTTAATCCCATAATAAAATTAAGATGAAATGTATGTGGCATCAAACTATTCGTAACGTGATTGGTCAAATATATCATAAGCATGAAAATATATACAAACTCTGCTATAGTCAAGGCGCGCGTAAATTTAAATTCTAGCTATCATTAAATGCATCAAAACAATTAAAAAAATCTATTAATTACTGTAAATATAAATACGTATAAATTTAATTGTTTAGAATATTTTTATACTCGAGCACATAAACATCGATCGACCGGTACCAATCTCATCTGACATGATTTACGATACTGATCGAGTAGAAACCGCAATAATTGCCCACGTCGTTGCTGGATATCGTCTCTAGTCTCTAGTTGTTAAAGCAAACTTTGAGTTAAGTAAAGAGTAAGAGAGCTGACTCGAGACCTCAACACATGAATGCTTCACTTCAGCTTGGTTTACTCGTGCTATGGCCCCTTCGCACTTGAACTATCCGCTAGCTCTAATTATAACTGCACCTGGACTGCTGTTGCTGTTTCTGCTGATGTCTGTTGGCATTATGAACCAATGTAACTCCTCAATGCTTGTTTATGTACATTATTTTTATTATTACAGCATTCGCGGAAATATATATTTATGTATGTATGTATACACATATATATATCATGATATATATATACCATTCACGTTTAATTAAATACATAAAGTTCAATGCTCTCTTTCTTCTTTTATTCTTCATCCATTTTGGTGGCGAGCGCTTAGTTGTATAATCCAATTTAACCTGTTTGGCCACATGAATAGAATAAATTTAATCCGTTAGATATTGAATAAGTGTCAATTGATCAAAAGCATACTCACTCACTATTTTTAAATATCTATTATTTTATTTTTTAATTATTATTTTTTGTCAACAACACGTGCATACTTACAAACAACCTACACGTGATTGATAATGTCATTAAATATTTATGACATTACTTGTTTTTGATATCAATTTTTATTTATATCAGATAATAAATACCATAACAACTTTTATGATTAATCAAGTCCAGTCCAATGCAAAATACAATTAAGTAACTCCGTCTGTTGGATAGTATATAATTATTAAAAACACTTTACACAGGTGACATTTAGTTTTTCTTTAAATATGTATTATTTATTCTTTTATTAATACCTTGCCAGTAAAGTGTAACACACAAATATTTATTGTGATATCGTGATGGCGGTTAACATATTTGTAAACTCATAAATGAAATACTTGTCAAGTTAAACTTGAATGTTTAAATTTAAATTATCTCAAAATTAAATATTTACACAATGATAAATAATGAGTTTAGTTATATACTGAGCGTTGAATTATAAATGTCACTAGAAACATTTTTTATTATTATTGTTGTTGTTATTATTATTATTATAAATAATAATTATTTATTTTTCTAGTGGTTAAAATTTTTTTATTTATTCCTCTTATTTTTTCCAGGTAAACAAGCCGCAAGCGACAACCTTCAATGTCTTTGTCGTCTTTATTTTTCTGCGATACTCAATACTGTAAAAACCAATACAAGATAGCAGGCATGTAGACACGGCGAGACTTTACTTGAATTGGAAATTGGAATGAGTTAACTATTGAGTACATTGGAATCAAGCTGTACTTTTATTAGTATTAGTTCCAACTGTTAAAACTGTTGGCGGATTGAATTATTTCAAGTAGAACATGTTGACAAGCACGCATTCCAACGTGCCTCATCCGGGAAATCTATTCTTCAGACAAAAATAAATAAGTATTTATTTTTTACGTCTAATAACAAACAATTAAATTGCTACTGGCGATAAGTGTAAGTATAAGTGATAAATTAAGTTTAGAGATTATAGCGATGATGATGATGATGATGATGATGATGATGATGATGATTATGATAGACGTAAGAAAATTATTCAAATTCAACTGTCATTGTCGCTTTTATATATCTAGACAGCAATCACTGGCTTAGAGTCTTATCATTATAGCTCTGTACCATGATACGACTTCCTTGGGTAAATTGGCAAATTAAAAATACCGTGACAATATATACGTGTTAGTGTTGTACGTTGTGCAAAGTCCTACTTTCAAAATATTTTAATTGCGACTTTAATCTTGTCGTTTATATTTTGAATATTGTTTTATTACCTTTTTATTTTATTTACATCTTCATAATTTGATAAGTATTTTACTCACTATTTTTCTATTAAATAAAACAAAAGAATTTAATAATAAAATACATTAAATTCCGTTGAAAATGCGGTTAATTTTAAAAATCTCGTGATTATCTTCATACTAATTTTTCCCAGGTATTCAGTGCGTGTAAGTGTAACGTTTTCTTTTTATGCTTTTTAAAATTGAAAAAAATTTTCACTTGAGTTATTTTATTATTTATTTATTTATTTTTTAAATTAATTCTGTTTTAAGGTAATTTAATATTGAAATTTTTTTATCATCAATCCGATGGTTACACAACACTTTACCAAATGATTATGTTTTCATATTACGCTGCGCGTATATGTTACACAACATTCTGGTGTATAAAGTACGTCTGTTGAATCTGAGCAGCGAAGGCACATAGAAAAAATGACAATATAAATTTATGCTCTTGAAAATTCAAAAGATGGATTAATCAATTGATAATCTTGTCTGGTAGACAAGTCTGTAAGTATAAAATATAATATTATAAATAAAATAATAATATTCACTCTCTTTTATATTTTGCTATTCGATATTTGATTCAAATTACCGATGACCCGCGCTAACATAACACACGATTCTCATTCGACTGAATCGTTTTAAACTTACAACAATTCACCTTCCTCTTATTATATACGCGAGTACAACAACACCGCACAGTAATGCAAGGCGTGGCGATCAATTACGATGCAATCAATAAATCTAAACAGACGATTTCAAATAAATTTTATATCACTTTCTCACGTTTATATTTTTTTTTTTCAACTTCTGTATCATTATTTTATCTTTTATTTCAGAGACAACCACTAGTCTTCATTTCTTCTTCTTCTTCTTCTTCTTCTTCTTCTTCTTCGGCCTATCAATCATTCAAGTTCTGATTGCCGAATAATTATTGAAATTGTCAATCTTCAATGGAATTCTTCTCTGGTACTCGTGAGTTTTGACATCAAAACAAAGATAAGTGTGATTTTTTTTTACAATAGAATAAAAATAACAGACTTGTAATTTATAATAATTTTTTTTTTTTGCAGAACAGTTCAAGGAAATCAAGTGAGTACTGTTAATTTAGACCACGTGATTGTTTTTAAATAACAATCGTACACAATGAAGAAATAGTTGTTCACTTAAGAAGATCTGTTATTTTATAAATTAACTTTTGTTGTAGTATAGTGCACAGAGGTTGAATCCCATCGGTGATGGGATAGAAGAATGATGATAATGATGAACCGGACGAACGGGCACAACAAATGTGAGCGAGGCGATGACAGTCACAGACGATTGCAAGCTAAGAGTTAAACAACGCGACGTTCGAGCGACTACTAGACCGGTTGGTTGGTTCGTTGGTTGGTCGTTGGTTGGTTGTCTGATGATGTTTGGATGTGGTATAAAACACTGTATACCACACGACACGGATATCTGTATGTCTGACAATGAGAGTGAGTGCACATGACAAGAGCTAACTCAGGATGCGCATGTACGAGCTCTGCTCACGAGTTACATTATATTATGTTAGAAGTTTGCTACTTTACTCTGCTCTATTATACTCTATTCCACACTACACACGTATATGGAGTGTGGATCATCTGCACAGTATACAGTGTATACGTACAACTAAGTCATGTGAAGACCCGAGAAGGTTCAACCCGCCCAGGGGGTCATGTCGCTTACATTTATATTTAGATTGTGTTTAGTTGTATTACGTAGTTAGAACTATTCACGAGAACAAACTTAACATTAAAATTTAATATTTATGGTTGTCATTATGAAGACGATGTTTCAAAAATCAAGTGTCAAATTATTGTTTTTATTTTTCAGATTGTTTAATTTATTTTAAAAAATTTTTATACGTAAAATATTAAGAGTCAACTAAATTATTATAAAAAAATTACAAATGCAAATTTTTATGAAAATAAAGTTAGCCGACATTTCAAAATTTTTAGAAATTTTTTATTAAAAAAATTTCAATTAAACAAGTAAAAAAAAAAAATTTCACATGTAAAAAACTTGAAAAACTATAAGTGCAATTTTTTAGAAATATTTTTTTAGTTGTAATTTAATTAATAAAAAAAATCAAAAATTTTTAGACGTCTGCTAACTTCAGTGTCATAAATTTTTTATAAATATTTTTTTTTATAAATAATTTTTAATAAAAATTAAATAAAATTGTCAGATGTTTTCTGATTTAAGTATCATTAAAAATAGAGTAATACATTTACACTGAAAAAAAAATTTTTGACTTGAGTGCAAATTTTCTTGGCTTAAGAAAATATTAAGGAAGATTAAAAATTTCTTGAATGAAGTTAAAGTTTCTTGAGCCAAAAAAATTTCTTCTTGCTCCAAAGTAACTTTTATCTTCTTTAAAATTTTCTTGGTTCAAAATATTTTTTTTTTCTGTGTAATAAATAACTATTTTGTAATATAATTAGTTACCCTGTTTATTATTTTAATTAGAAGATTTCATGCTAATTTTTAAGAAAAATATCAAATAAGAAGATATACTCATTTGTAATTTTTAAAACATAAACAGGACTGATTGAGGTTTTACTTATTACTTTAAAAAAATTCTTTTTTTTTATTTATCATTTTTATAAATAAAAAAAAAAATTAATACATATATTTCTATGCTTAAGTAAAATATATTTACAATTAATAATCTCTATTATTGAAAGTTACAACGGAAGTGTTCCATTACAATACACCTGCATTATTGTTTGACCTTAAAATTTTAATCAATGAGTTCCTACATATAATTCAATCGGCAATAGAAATTTTTATTTA